AGAGGTGGCCACCCTCTTCTGCTGTCCTGCAGCTTCCCATTCACATACTGTCTTCAAATGGCAACTAACTGCTGGAAGGAGATGCCCTCATATTGAAGTTACTCTGCACCCAGTCAGCCTGAAAGTCTGATTCCCCAGGGAGATTGCCAGCTTATGCTCTTTCTGAGGTGTAGAGCAGGAAGGGGAGACTGTGTGTGACAAGGCAAAGGAGCAGTCTTAGCTTGCCATGAAGAAATGAAGGAATTACAAAGAGATTTTTCCTCATATATCAGTTACTTCCAAAGTGGTGAGTTTTCATTTCTCATATTTTGTTACAGTACCCATTTACTATGTGGGGGCTTTGCTTTCTGTCATACTGGCAGAAAGACATACAGCCACAGGCAGCTCAGCCACATTCCCAGGAGCATAGAGGGGTTCTGTGAAGGGATATTCCTAGGGTCCAGTGTCTTGTACTCAAAGCTTTCCTTTTCCGAGGCCTTTCCTCCTTCCTTGTCTGTCACTCGCTCCTTGTTTGCAAGCCTGACTTAAATCTATCCAAGGGCCCCAGGTTTACCCCAGAAAGAATAATAATTGTAGTGCTGAGCTCTGTGGCTTCCCTTTCATTCCCCACATAGCATTAGGGTGCTCATTGAAACCACAGCATTCATGGATCCTCGCCATATGCAAACATGCAATTAATATGCTTTTCACTTTCCCCTCTACTTCCTAAGCAATATGGGGGAGAAAAAAGCACACAAAAGTTGTGGTGCACATTTCCTTATGACACACACGTGTCTGCACTTCTCTGCAGTGCTTCAGCATGGCTCACACCTACCTGGATTTGGTGGTCATTAAAGAAGTGTGTCTGCTTGCAGGCAGACATTTAATTTGATGTCCTGTGTAGCTGCACACAAAGCAATATGCAGAACATAATTCATTCCCTCTTTCAGTTGTGTCAGCAGATCTATGAGCATTCTTTTCCAACAGGTGTTACCGTCCTCTCTGTTTCTAGCAGGGAGCTGCAGTGGGTATGATCTCTGCACGGGCTCCCCTCCCTGTCCCACTGCTGCTTGCTGGTGGTGGGAACAGGTGTGCTGGGTACCTGGATGGGAGTGCACACAGCAGGAAGAAGGAAATGAAAAGCAGCTGATGCTGGCTGGAGAGAGGTGTGCAAGAGAGTTTAAACCAGCCGCTGGAAGGAAATCCAAAGGGAGACACATTTCCTGGATGAGGCAGGGCTGTGGATCAGAGGGCAAAGAAAGGCTCCAGTGATTGCAAGTCCTTCCTCAAAAGTTACCTTTTGCTAGAGAATGTTTTGCTGTATCACTATCCCGACTTTTTCCTGGGTTTTTAATTGCCCCCATAAAAACCTAAATGAAGCAATCGCAGCCAAAGGGTTGGATATGTAACTACTTGTGCCATCACACATGACCTGACTCCTAAGAGCTCGTCTGGGGACTGTAGTACCTCTTCTCTGAAGTAGGCTGAAAGTTCCATTTGCATCCTCACCTTGTTCTCAGTGGGCCTTCAGGAGCAGAGGGGACCTATAATGCAGCAGTTGCTCCCTCTGTCTGTGGTGCACAAAACAGAGAGCAAAACCCCACCAAAGCAATGTATGGAGAAGAAATCAAATCCAGAGAAAAGACAAAGCGAAATGAAGGCAAGACTGTTGCAAAGAGCTACTGAGGAGCCAAAGTGTGGAGTCCGCATGACTCCGGAAAACCTTCATGGCTAGGAAGACAGGCTGTGGCAGAAACTGTATATTCCATCCATATGAACACCAACGCTGGAAAAATAAACGGGACAAATGGTGTCTTTCACAGACTTGAAGTAAAAGCTTTTCTTTGGTGGCAGTCCTAAAGAGCCAGCCTGACCTCCAAAGCAAAGCAGTTCTAACAGCATGAATCATTTCCATACCAGCTGTCCAGGCTGCAAACACTACACAGATGACCCCTCCTGTAACAACAGAGCCTGCATGCAGCAGACCAAAAATCACCGACATTTCACCCTACATTCCTCAAGAAACACTCATCCTTGAAGAGTCTGTGAAACCTCCTGGCACAGTCCTGGGTGAGGGAACCAAAAGCTTCAGCTTGGCTTGTAGCCACATGGCCTGGATTGCTGTCCACGTGTTCAAGCCCAGGGCTTGCTTACCTTGTCTTGTGTGTCCTGCTCACAACAATGCAGGGTGAAGGCAAAGCAAATGCAAAGTGATACGATGAGAGACTTGCAGTTCTCACTCTATGGACATAAAGTCAAGCAGTGGAAGCAGGACCAGGCAGGATGGAGCACAGGAGAGCAGGATCCCTTTCTTCTGAGAAATGGACTGATGATTCACTTCTCAGGAGTGATAAAATTAGTTGGTTGGTCATACACGTGTATTTGCAGTGCCAAATATTGTGAGGCCAGGAAGACTTACCTGTTGTCAGTTTGACTTGTTCAGCCTGAACATACTTGATTGCTATTTCAATCTTCTGCTGTAATCAGATTGCAAGTAAGTCTAAGTATAAAATCAGAGAAAACTGGGCTGAAGGAATTTGAATAATCATGTAATTCAGCCCCTGCCCCAAGGTTGCTTCCTGCTCTGCTGTATCTATGTCCCAAGAGATGGCTGCAGAACTTGGTTTTAAAGATGCTCTAGTGAGGGTGATGCACCATTCAAGTGTTGCAAGCACTGCAGTCCCCAGGCCTCTGCTTCAGCAGTGCCACTCAGCCTGTCCTTTTCCCCCTTTGCTGCAGGCACCCATGCCCAGCTGCAGCAGCATGTCTGAGTTTTTCTGAATTGCAATCACCTCCCCTCACCCATCAACAATTTACCTGTCTCCAGGTCTCTTCTGGAGCACAAAACTGCTTGCCTGCAGAAATAACTGTCCTTTTTGGCTCCAGAGGGTCAGTAGCAACACCCTCTGACCACCTAGATGACATTTCCATTGCCTTTAGTGAATTGCAGTCATGCATGACGTAAGCAAAGCGTCCATTTCAAAGCTCTACACAAATGCTGGGATGGGGGCTCCCATCAGAGCTCTCCAAGATGGGACAGAGCAGCTTTCCTGTTCAACATCAAAATGGGGTATTTGTTATGATTCTTCCTTGCCTTCAAAGGTGCAACAGTGATACGCAGAGAAGCTTCATCTGGGCAGTTACACTCAGCACTAAAAGCACTGAATAGAAGCAGGGTTTCAGACGAGGCAATTTCTTTTTTTTTTTTTTTCTGAGATATTTTAATCTCCAGAATGGATTTCACAGCTCCTATCTGACTGTGCCAAAGCATTTTCCCTTCAGAGCACAGACAAACAAGTGAGGTTTACATTGCTTGACCTTTTCTGATGACACTGCCACCCATGCTGTGCAAACCAGAGCTGACACCATCTGAGCTTCCTCGGCCTGAGGATAAATACAGTGTGTGTCCTGAGAAGAGGCTTCCTTGTGTTAGCTTGGGCGAGGCACTGAACCAGAAGCTCTTGGTTTCACTGGTGAGTCTCCATAGTTAGGGAAGCGATATCCGTGTTTGGTTAGTGGCAGGAGGGGAAGCTGCCCCTGCTGTGGCTCTGTCTGTGCTCTGTGACCCTGGCTGTCACTCCATTGCTATGGCAGGATTCGGTCTGTCTATTCCTTGCAGCTGAGAACCCTGCTGACTGGGATGTTAAAGAAAAGACATCTTCCCACTTACTTGGAGACAGGTTTACTTCTTGCTGAAGGGTCTGGACGTATTTCTTCTTCCCATCTTAAAGTGGCAAAGGTTTTTGTGTTTCCCCCTTTAAACCCACTGGCATCCACATTAACAAAGAGGTTTCTTTACCATTTAGGAAGTAAGAACAGCATTATTTTCTCAGCACAACTCCATCCTGGTTGAATTTATGTCTCTGACCTTTTACCCAAAGGCTCTTTACACTTGACTGAAACATAAGGTAAAAGTAAATGTAACTGAAAGAGCTCATTGTGTGTGTAAGTATAAAGACTTTTGTGTGCAGGATGTGGCTGCTTGTGCAACCAGTAGCCAAGGAGCACCTTGGGTTGTGCTGTTAGTTCTGACTGCCATGGAGAATGTGGAGCAAGAGCCTGGATGGATGAAAACCCCATGTCCAATTCAAGCACTGGCTCCAGCCACCTTCAAATCAGCACTTCTTTGCCAGAACCCTCACAGCTGGCAACTTCTGGCCAGGCTTCCCACAGAAGAGATGCAGTGCTATCTTTGGGGTTTTTTTCTGCAGATGCCTGTGACCAAGAAAGCCCCCTCCTTGGAGCTGGGAGTCCAGTCTGTTCTCTGTGGAGCCATGGAAATAGGGACAGATTAATAAAACATCAGGGCTTCTTCAACGGGATTATTATAAGTGGTTTTCTTGAGTGTTGGTTGGAGTAATGATCAGAGAGGACACAGATCCATAATCCTATTTATCTGAAACCATATAATCTTCCTGAAGCTCTTTAATAGTGCCAGCTCTTTAATTACAGAGCAGCCACATGTGCTGCTGCAGCCAGGCCTACCTGCAAACCCTCTGCGGGGAGCGGGGGCAAGGAGACCTCCCTGCCGGTTGCCCTTCAGGCTCCGACCCCGCGCTTTCCCGGCGCTGCTCCCCGAGGGATGCAGAGGAGCTACCAAAGCCGGCCGGCTGCTGAAAGGAGAGTTTGTTCGGTTCGTCAAACTGACACGGCTCTGCCGGGGACCAGCAGCGCCCTCGGCTCCCTGCGCAGCGCCGGCAGGAGCACGGGGGCCCCGGGCAGCCGTCGGCCTCGCCCCGCCCGGCGGTGAGGGGCTGCCCGGGAGGCGGGGGCGCTGCCTGAGGGGGTGTCTGCGCGGGAAGTCCCGCCCCGGCGGCTCCCGGAGAGCGGCGGGGGCGTGCCGCGGCCGCCCGCCGGCCCCTCGGCAGCGGGGCACTGACAGCCGCCCTGAGCGGCACCGGCGCGGCGCTCCGCTCCCGTGCCCGCCCGGCGGTCGCTGCCGCCCCGCCGCCCATGGGCCGCCGCCGCCGGGGGGCGGGCGGGAGCGTGCGGCCGCAGTGAGCCCGACCGGCGAGCGCGGGGGGCGGCCGAGCCCCGGCGCCGCGGGCACCATGGACAGTATCCTGGAGCCCTTCCCCGCCGAGCGGCTCTTCCCCGCCGCCGGCACCGGCTTCCTCGATTTCGGCGACTTCAGCGAGGCCGACTTTCTCAGCAATGTGGTAAGGGACCGTCGGCAGCACCCCCGCTCCCGGGCCCCGGCAGCGGCGACGGGACCCGGCGGCGGGCTCTCCTCAGTCCCCGCCCTGCCCCGGGGTGCCCCGGAGATGCAGGGTGCCCACTGTCGCACACGGCCAGCTCCCCGCTGGACTGGCCCGGCCGCTGTTACCCTGAGGAGACCCCGCCGGGGAATCTCAGGGCTGTTGTACACTATGGTGTTACGAGCCTGATGGCTGGAGAGAAGTGTGCGGTGCCAGGCGGGGAATGTCCGACCTGCCGTGTGTGAGCTCGGGCGGCACCGAGGCACGGCCGGTTGCCGTCAGGAGAGCTTTGGGCTCAGCGCCTCTTCTCTCCTTTGCCTGTAACTTTTCCTCAGAGTGGCATTTGGGAGATGAAGCGTCTACCGCTTGGCGCTTTGGCTGGACTGATTTACTTTGGAGAGAAGGGTGAGGGGGAAGAGTGACTAGGGAGGAAAATGTGTTGCCAGTCTCAGGGAACCAAAGGGGCATTGTTCACCTCTAGGGAAACTGCCCAGTTTCTCCCAGGAGTCAGGCGAGTTCTCAGTCCAGCACCTCTCTCTGAGAACACGCACAGACTCTGCTGTAGAGCCCGAACTCTCCATGGGAGTTTCCATGGGATCCTGCAGCCCCTCTGCCCGGCAGGACCAGCCCTGAGGCAGAAGTGGGAAGGTCCCCACCCCAGAGGTGCTTTGGAGCGAGGGTATCCGGCGCTGGGCAGCAGAGCACTGCCCGGACGCGAGCTCCGCCAGCCTCAGAGCGGCTGCAGCCGTGGGACAGTGTGCCTGCCCCGGCCAGAGATCTGAGCACTGGCAACTGGCCTTTCACAGTGCTGGCACCTCCCGTGTTCCCGGTGTAGCACTGGGAGCGTCCCTGAGGGCTACCCTTGCAGTGGGAGCAGGGAACAGGGAGAGGGCGAATCCTCTGATGAATCCACTTCTGCTTTGCTACACAAAAGATATTTAAAGCCTTTTATGTTGCCTGCTTTGTGAGAGAGACGGTAGAGATGCGGAATTTGCATAAATATTAAATGCACTGCACCAAGCAGAGGCACACAGGGTCTGGGAAAGAGATTATGGAGGCAGCCCCATCCCTCAGAGATCTCGCCAGCTCCTAATTTCCGAGATTGCACTGTGCCTCGAGGACTGATTCCAGTGGGCTCTACCAGAGGCAGCAGAGTCCGCAGTGTTCAGGCAGACCTTCCAATGGCACATCACCCCAAGACTGAGCACTTGCCTCCCCTGCTCATATCTGAGAGACCTGTTGTTAGGAGTTTTGTTCTTTCCCTAATTCTATACACATCCAGTGTGGATGAAGCTATGCTGATAGGAAGTGCTTTATGCAAAGACCATTAATTCCTTTACCAAAATGAAAATAGTATGTATTAGCACCAGCCCTTTTACCAGGTGCAACATGGGCTGTGGTCAGAAGTCAGGGAACCCCTAATTAATATAGGTGGTGTCCTTTTATAGTTAAATTCAACTTCTGCCTTCTCAAGCAGACCCTGTTAAAAAGAAGCTTTTGTAAGACTGCCATCTGGTGCCACCTGCCAGGACAGTGTGTTTAGTGTGTGTGGTGGCTGCGGGCAGGCTGGCTCTGTCCTGCCTCATTTAAATGGCTTTTCTGCTTGGAGAGCTGTTTCTGGAAGCAGCTTGCCGTTGTCTTCTCATTTAACTATGTTGCAGTGACTCAGGCATCGTTGTGCTCAGCTGACAGCAGAAAGGCGCTTTTTTAAAGGCTTTTTTTTCCCTATGGATTTTTTCCCAACTGCCAGCACCACAAACTTCTGCTGGAGTGAGAGAGTCAAGCTGAAACCTTCTCTTCCTGCAGAGGATACATATAAGAGATTCTGTAGCCACTTCTCACCTACCAAATCTGTTGGTGATACAAGAGCCAGAACATAATACATCAGCCTCTTTGTTCTCACTCTGCATGACAATGGGAAGGATGGAAGAAATACACTTGGATTTTCTTACTAAATCCAGCAAATCTCCTGGGATCTTGCAATGTGTGGAGAAGTTCTTTTGACATAGAACTGTGCAAAACATCACCGTGCACAATAGGCATAAAGTTGCCAGTGCCTTTGCTTCAAAGATGGGCAAACTTTTCCAGATATTGTTCAGCAGGCATTTTTCTTAAAACAGGCCAGGAATTTCAGCCATAAAATGCCAGTATGAAATTTTCATGAATATGATTTCCTTTTTTGAGAAAGGAAGCAGAAAAAAAGATGGATGAACCTTACTGCAGAGTCTGTGCTCCTTTGGGGCAAAAATTGCATGTGTCTAAACTACTCTCTTTTCCACAACCTTGGCAGTCCTAATGAGTCATATTGGTCTTGAAAAAAATGTTCAGATGAACATTTCTGTATTGCTCATCTGAAGCTGTGACAAATAATTAATTAAGGCACATCTGTAAATGCATCTTCAGAAAGATCTGTGTGCTTGCAACAGAAAAAAAAATTGAATGTGTAGGAACTGCCTTTCAGAGACATCTGCCCAGGTTGTAGGAATAGGTTGACAGAAACCTCATGAAATTCAGCAAGAACAAATCCCAACTCCTGCCCCTGGAGTGGATGGATGGATGGATGGATGGATGGATGGATGGATGGATGGATGGATGGACTGACCCACCAGGGGTCATGGAGCACTGGTATGGCCCCAGTAGCAAAGGCAGCTAGGAGCAGGAGTGACCTGATAGATATACACAGAGAAGTGATTATCCCCTTTTTCTTGAAAATCATAAAACTGTGTCTCAAATACAGTGTCCAGTTTTGGGCTGCCTGATAGCAGAAAGACATGGATAAATCTGCGTGCATCAAGGGGGTTGTCACCAAGGTAACTGGGAGATGGAGAATTTCTCCTGTGAGCAGTAGCTGAGGCAGTTGGACTTCCTTAGCTGGAGAAGAGACAGCTCCAGGAGGACCTAGCAGAAGCCTACCTGCACAGCTGAGGAAGTTACTGAGAAGATGGAGCCAGGCTCTTTCATACCTGCATGGGAGGAGGATGAGTGGTCATAAACTGGAACAGGGAAGGTTTAGACTGGGTTCAAGGAACTGATTTATCACTGTGAGGATTTTGGGGTTTTTTTTGAAAATCGTATGGAGAGTGGTGTTTGCTTAATTGGAGAGGAAATCTCCAAAGGACACAAAATGCCTCTTTTCACTTAACTTTTGCTAACCAGACTTACACAGGATGACTGCTAACAGCACTGTCAGTCTCCTTTTGCTCTAGAGGCCACACACTGCTCTTGAACTTAGGCAACTTTGCTCTTCTTTTTCTCCCAGAAGGACCTATCATATATAAAGCTAATCCTTCATGCAGTGCCTGTTTATCAGTTTCACCCATTTGTGTCCTGCCCAGCCCAGCATATCTGATAATTTCTGCAAGCAACCATCTATTTGTTTAAGGTCTATTACAACTGCACTCAGAGAACTCTTACTTTCTCATCCAGCTCTTATCAGTGCTGTGAAACTCTTCAATAGACTTATATCTTGAGTCAGATTCACCACTGTGCTTCACTAGGTTTGTGACACTTGTGTCAGAAGGAAACCAGAATAAACCAACCAAACAAGAATCATGTGCTTCCTTCTAGCCCAGTGGGTTTGTTTCTTACCTCTGCTTCTGTGTTTTATAGTGCAAAAAAACACCTTCAAAGATGACTTTGGATATTTATGTAAATACAGCTTTATTTTGACTCTATATTTTTCAAAGCATATACTTCGCCTCCTTCAAGAGACATGAAGGCAAGAAAATAACCTGCATGCTCCCTTGGGTCTCCACAGTTAGCAGAATGGCTGTTCAGACTGTCTCAGGAGTGCTAACCCAGCTCCTCTGGGGAATGCACAGCAATGCACTCTTTCACTGTGTGATCCTGTATGCCCAGGCAATGTCACAAATGGCATTTTCTGGAGCGTACAATGGAACAGCAGAATGGGAGAAGAACTGCCTGTCTCTGTGGGGTTGCTCCTTGAGTGCAAACTGGATGTTTGGCTTACTGTGTGCTCTTCCCTTTAATATTGTCCTGGCCTGCAGGAGGAGGAGAGTGGCAGGTCTGTACATAGTGAGTAGGCTGAGAGTGATGTTTGTGCGACTCACAGAGGAAGCTTCCCCTGAAGATGAAGAGAGGCTATTCACCATGGATGACTGTCACTCTCACAGGAAGCCTTTACCCACTTTTATTCCTCTTATGCCTACTACAGGGACATAAATAGCACTTAAGTGCTGCTTAGGTGTTGGACTGACCTTTGGTCTGAGCGAGTTTCATGCTCTGTAAACTCCCTCTCACCATCTCAGTGCACAGTGAGGATGGAGAGCATAGGCAGAATTTGGTCACCCCCTTTGTATCCCTTACAGTTGCTAGACAGGGGAGCTCTGCTGTAATAGGAGGCTGGGTCTCCAGGAGTGATGGAGACTAATCTCTTGTGGGGACACATGCAGCAAACATTTTGGCCCTGTAGTTCTGTACCTGGTAAAATCTGGTCAGTAACACATTTATGATTAGTCTGCCAAGTACTGGATATGGAAAGGCTATTTTCTTTAAATTTTTCTTGGAACTCACCAGCCAGATTCCTGTAGGATCTGGAGCACAGATACAGACACCTGATGGGGCCTGATGGAAATTAATCCAAAGATAATAGTTCCTATATCCTTCTATTTCATGAGTCTCTTTGGATCCATCTCATGGTTTCTACACTTCATGGCCCTGCTGCTCCTTACTATCTCATGATAAGACTTGCAAAAGTGCTAGCAGCAAGATGAAACCAGAGCTGAACATGGGTCCATGGATCTCTGAGTCTGGGTGTCTGAGCATCACCACTGTAGAGTCACCACCAGGAAAAATGTTTCCCTTTTGATAAAGAAGAGGGGAAGAGACTTGAACTTCGTGAATTTGGAAGACTCTAGGTAAATACTTAATCCAGAGACTGCATCATTTGTGTGTCCTATCTGCCAGGAAATTGATAAACATTTGGGATACTCTTCCCAAAT